GATAGTGAAAATATTAGGAAAAGTGAAATTTCTCTGAAGTAACAGATGATATTTCAATATGTAAATTTATTTTATTCAATATTTTGCAGTTACCATAGACTTTTGTCTTTTGTTTCAGTTGTTCTTTGTGTGCCATTTGTTCTTGTTGGGTTGTTGGTTGTTGTTCCACTTGCATTCCAACTATACACAGTGAAAATCAAACAAGCCCCAAAAATGGAATAAGAAAATATACAGAGAAAATGAAATGAGCAGTAGAAATATAATTAATGTGTTCAGAGAAATATAAATTCCAGAAAAAATTACCAATGACAGAGAAAATTATAATAAATAGAAATTTCTCTGAGTTATGTTGACACAAGGACATAACTTTTTGTGGCTCAAGATTTTCACTGACCTTGTGGTTGAAGTTGTGTTGGTGTTCGGTATGGTTGTGTTGCTAGTTGGACGGATAGTTCTTGAACTTATTCATGCAATTTAGCATTTTCAGTTTCAAGCTCCGAATTTGAACACCTCAACTGTTGATATGTTTTTGTATCGTCTGCTTTTTCAACCTCTAACATCCTTAGTTTCATTTGGATTGTGCTTTCTTTTTCTTGAAGTTCTGAGTTAGGTGATGTCAGGATTCTTATTGAAATATCCTTTTCAGCAAGTAATTCAATCCAATTTCTCTCTTCTTCTTTTTTAGATTGAGAAAGTGCCTTCAGTCTTTGACGTAGATCAGCAATTTGGGCATCCTTTGATTCCTCAAATTCTTCAGGCTGATGCATTGTTGAGCCACAAATGCTATCACGTTGTTGGTCCATCGGCTCATTATGTTCTTCTTCATCACTTTCCTCCTTGTTTTCTTGTTACTGTTTATCTTCTTCTTCATCTTCCTGTTCACTGTCTTCTTCTTTCTGTTCATTTTGTTCTTTGTCTTCTGCTTCTATTTCTTCACTTTCTTCTCTGGTTTCTTTTTCTTCGCTGCTTGCTTGATGTTCTTGTCCATTGCTGGCTTCGTATTCTTCTATGTTGCCTTCTGCTTGTTCATTCCCTCCATCTTCAAATGGATCTTGTAATGTCTCCTTGAATTTGATAATTGCCTTTTTTGATTCTTTCTTCGTCTTTTTGCCAAGACAGAACTCCTCTGATGGGTTTTTGATTAGCTGCTTATTATCTATCTGTAACAGGAGACTTTTTTATTAGAGAAATGTTACAAAATTCACTGAGAGAAAAAATTCAAATAAGGAAAATAAAATTCATCTAAATGATATTAATGGGAAACAAACTTCAGAGAAAATTGTATGGGCCAGAGAAAATTAGAGACAAGGAGTTAATTTTACGAGGCAGAGAAAATTATGAAACAAGCAACATAATTTAGATATCAGAGAAAATCAATCAAGGCATATAAGTTAATGTTTTACTATAATTGTGTCAGAGAAATTTGAATTCCAGAGAAAATTCATTAGAAAGGTAGAAATAAACAATGTTTATCAAAGATGCAAGGCACATAAGTTATGGGCAAAGAAAATTACACAGAAGGAGATAAAATTTTATGGGCCAGAGAAAATTATGAAACAACCAACATAATTCAAATATTAGAGAAAATCAATCAGGGCATATAAGTTATGTGTTACAATTGTGGTCAGAGAAATTTGGATGGCAGAGAAAATTGATTACAATTGCAGAAATAGACCAATGGTAACCAAAGAAGAAAACATAAATTGATAGTTCAGAGAAAATTGATCTTAATCAATCAATGCACAAGGAGGGAAACAAAGCAATGGTCAGAGAAATTTTGGAATTTCACTGAGATTTCAGTAGCAATGGGAATCTAACCTGTCGAGGTGCAAGAGAGTGGACTGGTGTCTTCTGCAGCTGTTTCGTCAAGGTTTGCAGGTTCCAATTGGCACATCTTGGGTAGTCAATTGTGTTATTGTCTTCCGAGTCAATAATAGTTGCATGTTCACATAGCCAATACTGTGATGAAAATCAAAGTAAATAAAATTTCCTAAACACACAAATTTGTAAGTATGATAACTGCAAATTTGAATGGATATTATACTTACCAGCAATGCAATGACACACCCCGTAACTTTTTCTGGAGTTTTGTGCAATGCCATGATAGAATCAATCAATGTTGATGTGATTGCTTCCGGCCAATCATACTGTTTCATTGATTCAAGAGGTTCCACATACTTTATAAAAATCCAACCTATTGAATTCCCGCTTGTTGCAAAAAATAGGGTGAGACACAAGTACAATGTAACAATGATTGCTACACCTTTGAAGTCAGTTGGTTGCTTGCCTTTCATTGCTTTGACCAAGGAATTTTTAAGAACAGGACCAGTGAGCCTTGTGTCCTTTTGGAATCTTCTCCTGAGGAATGCAGATTTTGGCTTTTTAGAGTATCTTAATGACATGGCTCCTTTACCTCCTTCTAAACCAAAAATCAAGGTCATGTCATTTGTTGTAAAGGTCAGGTTCTTCTTAGCAATTATGAATGCTTTTATTTTTTCATTGTAACATTAGATTATGACAACTACATCATCATCTGATTTCCTAGATTTCTTTGGATCCATCCTTCCAGTTGTTAGAGCTTGGATCAAATACCAGAATGGGGTCTTTTGAAGCTCTAGAAGTTGTTTTGAATTGAATTTAAGTGTTTGAAAAAAGGTGACGACAGATGAAAGGTTGGATCGGAATTGAATGCCGTAGTAAGCTCTCTTTCTGTGGAGTTTAACAGGTTTTTTCCCCCTTGAGCTTGAGTCTTTTGACGTTGGGGTACTCATCTGGATGCTAGTTGCTTCATCACCTTAGACTTGTGTGTTTTGGTGAGGAGTTTGTGGTGTTTTGCTGCTAGTTTTTGATCTTAGATAATAAGAAGACTAAGAGAGTTGTTCTTTCTTGCTTGGTGTTTCTAGTGTTTTGCTACTAGTTTTTTATCTTAGCCCATAAGAAGACTGAGAGAGTTTCAGTTTTTTGCTTGGTATTTCCAGTGTTTCGCTGCTTTTACGCTTTGCCATTTCTAGACAATGATTAAAACATAAAGATGTCAACATTAAATCCCAGAGAAAATTGGATATGTCAGAAAAAATTACAAATAAGCGAGAAAATTACAGAAAAGAGAAAATTGGAGATGCTAGAGAAAATTACAGATAAGGGAAAATTACAGAAAATTAGACATGCCAGAGAAAATTAGACATGCCAGAGAAACTTGGGCATTAAAAATTAAATGTCAGAGAAAATCAATACAGCATCATAAACATGGGAGAGAAATTTTCAAAATTTGTTAAAATTACATATAGAAGTAAACATACCAGAGAAAATGAATGATAGAAAAAAGTAAACATAGCAAGCGAAAGAAAATTTCCATTCCACAATTAGCAAGATAAAATAAACAAAGTAATGTAAACATGCCACTGAGAATTGCACCATATTGAAACCAAGAATTGAACAAAATACACATACCAGAGAAAATTACACATTCTCGAGGAAATTTCCATTCCAGAGAAAATTTCAATTCATAATATTAAAATGCAAGAGAAATTTACATACACAACCAGAGAAAATTAACCATGATAGAGACACTCAAGGGAGGAAAGTGGTGTGATGTGGTCAGAGAAAATTAAAATACCAGAGAAACTTAGACAGGGGCAAGAGAGTAATATACATTGCAGAGAAAAATACATATTCCAGAGAAATTTACAAAGCAGAGAAATTTATACACAAAATCACAAAAACATGTTCAAGAATAAGATTAAAATTCAGAGAAATAATTTTTTCTCCAAATACACATGGCAGAGAAAATTCAAAGAAGAAACATTCATTCCAGTCCATAATATTAAAATTCCAGAGAAAATTAAAAATGATAGAGACACACAAGGGAGGAAAGTGATGTGATGTGGTCAGAGAAAATTATAAATACCAGAAAAACTTAGACAGGGGCAAGAGAGTAATAGACATTCCAGAGAAAAATACATACCATAACAATACCAAAAAGCTAGTATCAAAGTTCAATTTTCTTCAACCAAAATTTTGAGGGCATTGAGTTTTCACCCACAATGCACATCTTCAAGCAATTCTCCTCCCTATAGTTGGACAAATTTATAGGGTTGATTGCCTGGCCTAGAGCAGGAACCTCGAAGTAAAAAAACAGATGGCGGTGTCAGACCGATGAGTTAAAAATCTACAACATATCAATTGGTTGTCTTAAAAGGTTCTCAAAAAACCCCTATAATTTGGACTACCCTAATTTATGGAAGGTTATTATAAAATGCTATTAACTGTGTTTCCAGAGAAAATCTAGTTGTATTGTAGAAAAACTGACCAGAGTTAGGATGAAACTTGAATGACAAGCTGATATGGCCCGAGATGAAGATGCGACGTGACGAAGATGGACTGAAATGATGATGAGCAGTGAAAACGAAGCTTTAACCTAGGTCAGAGAAATTTGTGAGGAAGGAATGAGAATGATTTTTGAAGAAGATAACGAAGCTCTAATGTCGATGGTGAAGATGATGTTGAAATCCTAATTCTGATGTTCTCCTGTTCGTGAAGATACTGGATGTTTGGAATGGAACTCAGACGTCGGAATGAGTTTCGTTTCTGTGTTGATTTTGGCAAGGGTATTTTGGTCCACAAAATAATTAAAAACGCGCGCCAAGTTGTTCAGGCACCTGATGCATCACTATTTTTTTGGGTGTCCTTTATCCTCTAAATTATTATTATTAGGGACCTTAAAAAAAATTCTCCAATTAAAATTAGAAGGATCAAATTGAATAATTTGAAAATTAAAATCATTAATTTTGAAACATTTATCAATTTTTAAAGACGTAAATGTAGACAAAATTAACAAAAATATAAATTAAAAAAATTAAAGTGAAATTGAACTTAAAGTGTAAGGATTAAAAATTGTTCAAATTAAAATACTTAGTAAAGACTAAAATAAAATTTAAATTAAACTATAATAATAAAAAGTGTAATTACCCTAAATAAATATAAAATAGGTCTTCGAATCAGAACAGGTGAAGAAGAAAGATTCCTCTTTAATGCTTCTTGCGTTTTGTACACGTATACTTTCCTCATCTTAGCATAAAATGGAGCCAAACCGTAATTCTCTGATCTCAAACCCACTTCAAATCCCGCTTTTCCAGAGAGAAAAAGGTAAGTTTTTTTTCTTTAAAAAAAAAAAAAACTTGATTCGTCATTAAATATATATATATATATATATTTTACTTTCATGGGTTTATTGTTAAAATTCTTTTGCTTTCGTGGGTTTTCTGTAATTTGTGGTTATTTGATTGGTTTGTACATTTTTCTGCGTCTTTGATTCAGCTTTGGCTTCCAAATTTTTGCTGATCTGTGTATCGTGAGCTGTTAATGAACTCAGCATCAATTCTTTTTCTGGGCAATAGATTAAAATTTGATAAATTTACTTATTATTAATGAAGATTGAGAATTTAGAAGGGATTACTGCCTTGTTCTAGTGCAAATATTTGTTCTTTGTTTGGCGAGAGAGAAAATATCTGCAGAGAAAATTTTCTAAGGTTTCGGGTTGTGTCCCATTGGAGCTATTTGATGAATTTTACTTATCAAGAAAGGATTGTTCTTTTAAGCAAGAATTTTCTAGGAAATTGAGTGCTTTGATCCTTATAATACAGTTTAAAAACCCAAAACTCACAACTGCTATATGTAATTCCTTTTGTTCAATTTGGGTGGTTTTGGGGAAGGATAGATTGTGTTTGTGCTCATCAGTGACACTAGAAACTGACATAGCTGGATGCTTTGTTAGATGGACCCTTCTAATTCCTCCTGTGTACTCGTGTCTACTGGATATGACAATGGTACAGGTGTGTGATATATGTGTCACACCCATATTCAATTTAGACACTTAAATCCTCTAACTATGTGTGATGTATGAAGAAGACTTTCATAGGTCTTAGTAAAGAAATATTTCTAACTTCTTATATGAATTTCACATTATCCTCTAAATTTGTAAATAATTTACGACACCATATATAAGGATATTTATACAACATTCAGTATATGTAAGTGCTTAACATGTGTCCTTATACCCATACCCAACTTTTGGATGCATATCGTAATATTTTAAGATTTAGGTTTAGGATAGATCCAACACTTAGGCATGTAACTGCACCTGCACCTAATACTCGTATTCAAATCCATGTAACATAGAGCTGGAGTGGGACCTAGGCTAGTAGGAGTTAACATCATTTGGGAAAGAGCTTGGTCTCTGGAACAATGTTTTAATGTTAAGCCCATTGTTGGGGTGCTTTCACAATTGGGTAGTTGTATTTGTCAAATTAATCATTTCTTGAGGGGGCCACGGCTTCACTTCTGAGACAAAAATGCTTCTGTGGTTTATTTATTTTGCTTTTTATAGTAACTAAATATTAGATTGTTGCTGAACAGGTGACTTTGATTGCTTATGGCCAACCCTGTTACTGATAATGATAACGAGAACGGATGGCTTAAGAGAGTGAAGGCCGAAGGAGCTGTTCCATTTCTTGAACCAGATAATTGTCCAAATGGTTGGGCAACCCCATCCGGAAACATTTTTATGGTCCGTGGTCCAGAGTATTTCTTGACCAGGGTTAAAATTCCTGGCGATGAGTATCTTCTAAAGCCACTTGGTTTTGATTGGGTCAGAGGTCCTACAAAGATTTCAGAGGCCTTAAAGAATCCCAAAAACCGCATTAGGAAGGCTCTTGAGGATGAATTTCCAACAGGTAAGAAGCCTTTTGTTTGGGCATTCAATCTACAAGTCCCAAGCAAGGATAATTACAGTGCCATTGCATATTTCGTAGCCTTGGAACCTATCCCCGAGGGATCTTTGATGGACTGGTTCTTGAAAGGGGACGATGGGTTTAGGAATTCAAGGCTTAAATTGATTGCTAACATTGTTAAAGGACCTTGGATTGTCAGAACAGCAGTTGGGGAGCGAGGTATATGTTTAATTGGCAGAGCACTTACTTGCCAGTACTGTGTGGCAGAGAATTTCATAGAAGTAGATATTGATATTGGATCTTCTATGGTTGCAAATGCAATTGTTCATTTGGCTTTTGGTTACATAACAACACTTACTGTTGATCTAGCTTTTCTCATTGAGAGCCAAACTGAATCAGAACTTCCAGAACAAATTTTAGGAGCTGTGAGGTTCTCTGAGCTGAGCGCTGCTGCGGCTAGGCCAGTTGAGCTATCATCTGATGCCAGTGCTCATAATTTACAATCATCTCTGTCTGGACGGTTATGGAAGTCAATTGGGCAAGGCTTCTCCAACCTTCTTCCAAGTGCTCAGGAAAGCAGCTCTGTCTCTAGCTCAGCACATGTCAATGGAGTTGTTGATAATGAGCATAGTGGAAATGAGATAAGGATTGGTAAGTACTGCTATTAAACAATTCTTCAAATTTGATGATTTGAAGGTTATTAGGTATTTTCTTGTTTGGTACATAATTTCAATATTTGGGGATCTATACATTATTGATAGAACTCTATGGCCCCGTTTGTTTGGGGTTATAGGGAAGGGATTGAGATTACTAATCCCTTGGTATTACTAATGGGGTGTTTGTTTTGAGAAATGGGAATGGGACTATTAATCCCTTGGTATTAGTAGTCCCCTTGGAAGGGGGATTGGTAAGGAGGAGGTAGAGATGGTATTAGAAAAATAGTGAGGGGATTAGAATTTTTTTTATTTTTTATATATTGGGAATTTTTTTTTAAATATAATGTTTAATTTTTTATATTTTTTTATTTGTTTTATTATTTTATATAAAAATAATTTAACAATTCCTCACTATTAATCCCCTCACTAACAATCCCTTCACTATTAATCCCCTCCATTCTATCTCTAAAAACAAACGGGGCTTATGGTCTTTAAAATGTGGTACCATTCTGTTCATACCATGGCCTTCAAAATAAATAAATAAATACCTAATTAACTTCATAAATATGTATAAATAATTACAAGCATTGATGGAACATGCCTTATATGACATCATTGATAGATACATAACTATTCTTGTTTTCTATCTTGCATCAAACTGGACAAAGGCTTAGGCCACCAAAATTGCCCAAACATATTTTTCCTCTCTATGTAATTGCCAGATAATTCGCAAACTGAATGTAGTTGAGATGAGGATGCAAAAGTGAATGTGACAAGATTAGGAAAGAATGAATTAGTAAGATGATAGAATCAGCATCTATTGAAAGATAAAACAAGTAAACATTGATTAAAATAGTTTGTCATGTGCAGCAAAGACCAATAAGTTACCCAGTTAGGAAGAGTGACACTATAATGCTAGGTAACAAGAGAAACCAAAACTTACTTTAGTTGAGATTTTTTTTTTTTTGTGAAAAAAAAAGGTAGAAAGAAAGAAAGGGTTGTTAACTTGCTGTTTGACTGAGATTATGACTCTTAAGCAGAATTGTGAAAGAGGATTCATGTATTTGTCTGAATAGTTGGGGAAAAGCTTTGTTGAGTTGGGTTTAAGTTTCGATAATTTTCAAACAATTCTAAAAAAATCCTTACTAATCCAAAATTTTGATATTCTTGAGCAAGCACTACTGCTGGAATTAGACACTGAAATTGCTAATAGATCTACTGCTAGGCAGATTTCTCAAAGCACAATGAAATTATACTGCTGCATAGAATTCTGGACGAGAAGGGAACATTTTTAAATAAAAAAAGAGGGTTTTAAGAGGATTTGAAATCAAAACTTGAAATACCAATACATAAAAATGACAGAGAAGAAGGATGGGACAACCAGTCATTAAGGACATAGTGGGGGATGATCTAGATACATTTCTTTGGTTGGATAATTGGCATCCATTCGGGCGACTTTCCAAAAAATAAGGAGATACAGTTATTTACAACTTGGGTCAAGTCTGTTGGAGACTTAGAGCTAAAACTGATGATATCATTTACCATGGTGACTGGAAGTGGCCTAGGGGTACCCCATTGTTTGGTTTCCCCAGAACATCCTCAAGTGTGCCTTCATTTTGTGGCTTCTGTGTGCTGGAAGATTTGCTTCCAAAGACCGGTTGATTGAATGGGGAATAGAGATGGAGCAAGCTTGTTTGTTTTTTCTGCAATCAATCTGATGAATCTCAGCAACATTTTGTTTTTAACTGCTCCTATTCTAATTCTATTTGGCATAGACTATGAGGAGGAATGAGGTTTAGTAGAAGGTCTCAACAATGGGATGCTGAACTTCTATAGTGCAGAACAACAGGAAGAAGAATTTCAAAAGCCATGTATAAACTATCTTTAACAGGAGAGAAACTGCACACACAATCAAGATGATTGTAGATGATTTGAAAGCCAAGATTAGTTCTTGAAGGAAAATAAAAAAATATCTTTATTTAACCGACAATTGTGCCTAGCTTGGATTATCTCTAATAAAATCATGAAGCAATAGCTGAACGGGGGAATTTGCTTAAGTGGTTCTGGTTTTGCTTATTTTCCCAATAATAGTGCCCATTAGTTTGTTTTTTCCCCAGTTTTAAGGAGCTTGTGTTAGATGGTTTGTGTTTTCCTTGTTGAGTGTTTGACTTTGATTGGTTGTGACATAGCTGCATCTGTATGGAGAAAGGGGATATGCCTCCATCTATGTTTTTTTGCATATACTGCTATCTTTCAATGAATTATTGGTTAACTACCTGAATAACATTTTCAATCTTGTTCGGTATACATAACTTATAGCTTCATGTTGCAAAATTTTTCTAGCAGTTTGTTTCATAGGATTTGATTACTTTTTTTGGCTGTAAGAAGTGCTGGGGTATACCCTTGTTGAACTCTTGGAAGTTTTGTTTTGTTGATATATTCATATTACCTTACCCAAAAAAAAAAAAAAAAGGTATTGATGCTCTATGCTTGGTTGGCGGTAACTAATTTTTAAATTTTGCAGTCTTTTTGTGTATAAGCTTCTGTATAGATACGTTTGGGCTGTCTGCTTTTCCTTTTGTGTATTCGGGTGGCACCCCATTGGTGCCATTCTTAATATAAATATAAATTTTAAAAAGTTGGACACTAAAATTCAGGTGTATACGAGTCATTTTGTTGTAACGTGCTGAAAATTGTTCTCTTAAATTTGTGATACTTTTTGAAGAGAATTTACAAATGATTTGTCATTATGTGCAGATCAACCAGATGCCAATGATGACAGTTCCTCTCTTGCAATCAGAGAAAGTTGATCTTGGTGTTGAAGATTGTTATATATATATATATATACTCCAAAATTGATTGAAGTGGGAACTTCTCTTTCATTTATTTTTATTATGTGAGGGTTGTGTATGAATCAAGGCAGCCATGAATCTCTTTTTCATATGCCTGTTGTCTTCTGTATATTTTTATTAGAACTAATGCCATTTGTTATTCACCCCCCCAAAAAAATGCCATTTGTGAATTTTAGAAGATTTCTATGTTTTTAATTAAAATATACACAAGTTGCTTAAAAAGTTTATTTATTTATTTATTTTTAACTCGGCTTGAATGATTGATTCGATAGACGTGCTCTCTCATCCTGTCCCAAATTTTTGGGGTTTTCTTCTCAGTCATCTTGTTCCAAATTATTTATTTATTTCTTTCATCTTGTTGAATAAACTTGGGAAAATTGCTTTTTAGTGTAGTGACAAAAAAAATTTACATTTTCATGATGGTATAATTCTTCTGTGTGTATGGTACAAATTCATTCTTGTACAATTCATTCTTGTACTTGGCGAAACTCTTCTTGTGTGTCAGAGTTGTTCAAAAAATAAAAAGGAAAATTTACCCATAAGTCCTAGTTTTTGAAACGTTGAACCATTTAGTCCTAAAAGTTTTTTTATGCTCCATTTAGTCCCATTTTTACATCAACATGATGTGAATGATGTAAATGATCTGATGTTTCATTCTATAATTTCAAAATTTATTGAAATCTGATGAACATTAGATGTTTTTCATCCTATATTTTCAAACATTATTGAAATTTGATGAACATTAGATGTTTGAAATCCGTCCCAAATTTTTGGGGTTTTCTTCTCAGTCATCTTGTTCCAAATTTATTTATTTATTTCTTTCATCTTGTTGAATAAACTTGGGAAAATTGCTTTTTAGTGGAGTAGTGACAAAAAAAATTTACATTTTCATGATGGTATAATTCTTCTGTGTGTATGGTACAAATTCATTCATGTACAATTCATTCTTGTACTTGGCGAAACTCTTCTTGTGTGTCAGAGTTGTTCAAAAAATAAAAATTATCATTTCTAGTGTAATTATTTGTAACTAATCCATGTATTTACAATTTCCCCAATAAACTTTGCAATTACTTGGGTGGTGAATTGATTAACTTGAGTCCCTTTTGGCATGGGTTAAAGAGCTGTTTTTTTTTTCTTTAGCTAAATAAACTAAAAAGTAAAAGCTTATTTGTTTTGACCACTTTCTCATTAATTAAAAAACAAAAGGCAATTTTTTAATACTTACTAAATATATCAATTTTTTATTATTATTTTAAAAAAATAAAAACATATCTAAAAAAGCCATTGTTAAACTCCAATTGAGAATATGCCCTTTTGTTGCACTGTTTGTGAATACTAAAAAATTAGATTTTGTGAAGGGAAAATGTTGTTAGAAATGGAAAAGCAGTTTCTTTCCCCTAAGGTTAAATTATAATTTTTAAATTTTTATGTAATCTCTCACTTTTTAATTGTAATAATTAAGCCTTCAAAATTGAAGTCTTGCTTTAAAAAGATTATTCCATCATCCAACTATTTATTTAAAATTTAAGTTAAAATTGAAACATAAAGAATCATACTGAAATTTGAATAAAATTTGAGGGGTAAAATACTTAATGCCGTATAAATTATTTTTTCCAACATGAATACTTTTTAACCAAATTTTTAAGTGTGACTAAAAGGGACTAAATTGAAACACTAGTTGACAAATAACAAGAAATTTGTATTGAAGTATGAAAATATGATTGACAAGTAACAAGAAATTTGTATTGAAATATGAAAATACGATTGACAAGTTACAAGAAATTTGTATTGAAATATGAAAGGAGAGAGATATTTAAGGATGAAATCATTTTCCATCAAAGCACTATTTTTTTTTAATGGGTACTACTGTTAACACTTTATTAATTATTTTAAAATTTGTAAAAAAAATTTATTTCTTTAGATCTTCACGTACAAATTTTAAAACTCTTAAAATTTCTTTCTCCCCTCTCAAATAATATCAAAATTATTCTTCAAAACATTTCACCCATTCAATTGAATGCACACCCGCACACGCACACACCCCAAAAAGCCTCTCCAAAATCCTAACAAAATCCACAAAAGTGATTACCACTTTATATACTTGTTCGTGACCTGAAAAAATAACTGTAGGGTTTTTTTTGTTGATGATTCAAAATTTTCCTATTGTAGGTTCTACGATCTCCACGAGTTTCGATAATTTGTTCTCAAACAAATAAAAAATGTTCGATTACTTATTCCCAAACAAATGAACAATGTTCAGACATGTGTTCTCGAATTTCGGTCATATATTTAGGAGTTCAGTCCCGAAAAAATAACACACATTTTTTATTATTTTTTGTCATTTTTTTCACAAGAAGGCCAATCTCCTCTGAACTAAGAACACCATCAAAGTTATGAATCTCCTCTAAACTTTTATTCTTATACTCCTCTCATCTCATGAAGTTGTGATTATCGGAAAAACTTCTACTCATCGTCATTGCCGGAAAAGTGTAAATAATCAAATGATTGTCATCGTTATTGTCTGAATATTGTCGCTAAATAATTTTCAAGATTGAGAGCGGACAGGTTTTGAATGTAGGGTTTGAGGAGGATGGATGGATGGTGATGGAGGTGGATGCTCTCATAAATCCTAACTCATGAAGTAGTGAATGTGTGAGCTTAATTGTGAGATGAAATGTCGTGAAATTATGAATGCCTTTTTTAATAATTTCATTTGAAATTATTATTATAATTATAAAAAAAATAAAAAAAGAAGCTAAAAAATGAGGAATTTAAAATAATTGATGGGTTTTGTACCCCATCTGATAAGAAAAGATAGAGAACTCTACACTAGTGATGCAATTCATGATTGTCTTGAACCAACCTGTGAGAAAATTAAAACCTCATTCAAACTTGTCAAATGTCATAGGCACTTTCTTTGCACTTTCTTTTTTTTAATTTTAAATAAAGTTATAATGAGCATGTTCTCACTTTTATCCTTTTTTTTGGAAAAATTACTTTTCAATGTTCATGGGAATACAAGTCTTCTTGACAAAGTTATCTATATATATATAATAAAAAAAAAATCATCCATAGCGCAATTATTTTACGACTCTCATTTGTAATTTTCCCTTTTTTCTTTTTTTTTTTTTTGGAGCTAAGGTGGTACAACCGTCATCACTTCTCGAACAATGATGGCATTCTATAGCCACCTACCAGAAAGGAAGACTTACAAAGGAATCAAGAAAGGGTCTAATGTATAGTTTACAAGAATGAATATAGAATGGAATGTCAGACTTTAATCTTCTTTATCAAATGACCATTCACTTATAATAATTGCACAAAACCCTTCAAAATCAAATCTATGATACAAGACGAAGAGACTTAATTAAGTCCATTTACATGCGCTGCTAATGGAGTTATACAACAGCCAACTATTTAATAGATTCAAACAACTCAGCTTAAAAGAATTTCTCAATCATTTAACAAAATGGTGAACTCTTCATTTCAGGGTTCGTTTAGGATTTGGGTTGACTTTTTGACTATTTTAACTTAGGACTAAAAAGTCTCATTTGGGATAAATTTTTTGACTTTTTTGACTTTTATGAAAGAAAAAATAAAATGATTGTGGATTGGATGTGATATTTTGTCCTATTTGGCTAAAATAACCTATTTTGTCTTATATGGCTATTTTAGTCCCAGTGAGACATCCCAATGTCATTTCCAGTGAAATCAATTTATGCCATTGTCCTAGTTGGTGAGGGAGTGCTTGCCTCCAACTGGTGAATAGGGATGGCAATTTGAAACCGGCCCGATGGGGACCCGACCCCACGACCTTGATTAGAGCAATTTTTTTCCAAAAAATATCCCCAACAGACCAGGGATGGTACTCAAAAATAAATCCCCAATGACTTTCGGGCCAGGGACGGTGATATGTTTTTCACTCCCGGCCCCGGCCCGTCCCCGGCCCCGACCCCGTCCTCGTTAGTCCCCCGAATTAAAGTTATTATATATACCCCTTAATATATATTATATGTTCATGTTCTGTTCTATCTCTCTCTCTCTCTCTCTCTCTCTTCCTTCTACTCTCTCACTCTCGCACCTCCTCTCCTCTCTCTCACTCTCGCTGCGATTTGCACAACCTCTCGACCGCCGAGAGTCTCGCACCTCTCCTCTCTGCCTCCTCAGCGCAGAGTCGCTGTCCACCTCTCGATCGCCGCTTCACCTCCGCCGTTCGCTCTAGAGATCTCAGATCGCTACCCTGCCCTCAGTCACTGTCCGCCGTTCACTCCAGAGATCTCAGATCAGCCGATCTCCATCATCCCCTTTCTCTCTCTCTCTGTATACATGTATCTCTCTCTCTCTCTCTCTCTCTCTCTCTCTGTATACATGTATGGTGTGTCTGTGTGTATGTATAATGTATGTGTGTGTCTTTGTGTGAATGTATACATGTAAGTATGTGTGTGTGTCTCTGTGTATGATTTTTTGAGGATGTTGAAAGTTGTTGTTGATGGTGTTGAATGTTGAAACAAAGTTGGATCGGGGAATTTTCAAGGTCGAGGAAACCCGATCCCCGTTGGGGACGGGGATGGGGACCGTGATAGGTTCTCCGTCGGGGATCAGGGCCGGGGACGGGAAAGTTTTGGCCATCGGGGATTGGGGACGGGGAGGGTGATCCCCGACCCCGCCCCGCCCCGTTGCCATTCCTACTGGTGAAGCACTTATACAAGATCTGCAAATCTATGAAGCATGAAGTGACCAGTACCCAACACTCTTGAAGGAAGTTGAGATTCATTAAAGCGTTTTTGTTACAAGGCAAAATTCAAACCCTTGATAGCTAGATTTACCGGGTTCTGTCTTATATATGTCACCTAAATGCAGTTATCCTAATAACTATAATAGTCAATTGTCAGTTGCAATCCAACAACCACCACATCAACAATGCTAATCTAATTTAGTCATAAAATTGTTTCAGACTTCTGTAACAGAATGCTCTAGAAGTGATTAGGTTCTTCGAGAGTAGTCGAAGACAGCTAATTTAGCATCTGCATTTGAGCATTTGCCTCAATCAACTAAGGACTATTTCAACAAGGCTAAGAGATCTACTGGGATGAAACTTCAAATATGAAAACTCACTTCAATATGCACTTTATGCTATTAAGATTTAAACCAAGAAAAATTAAAAAATTCCATGACCATGAGAAACAGTTAATAAATGATTTTTTATGCTCTTATAATTTATCTAGCAACATTTAATGTCCTGAGCAACAGCTCCCACATATCAATAACTTGTATTACAGAGAAAGTCAATTGAACTTCTTAAATGCAAATAGTTAAAAAGGAAAAGGAATAAATTAACATTCAATCAAATTAGTCTTAGCCTTCATTTTTAAGACCATAAGATACCAAGTTAGAACAGCATTGTTAATGCAATAAACCAATTCAAAATTCTCATTTCATTTAGGAAAGGTCGGTGGAACAAACAATTGCCATTGAACTTGTCAGGACCATAAGATCCTACACATCAGGAAAAACACTTCTCTAGCACAATAAATGAAGGATTGGAGAACAATAATAACTAGTAGCAACCTTACATACTGTCAGATGTAAGAATGACATGGATCCAACAATTTAATTAATCGATAAAGCAGCAACTAAAGATTGTATAGCTATCTTGGGATATATGGCATCAATGATTCATTCAAATCCACTTTGTTCCAAGCACAGCAAACCGGTTTGGGAAAGAAAATGCACAGGTAAATACAGGATTAGCCCAAGTCAAGTACATTTCCCACAAGCAATATCATTGTTTGATCATGAGCTACACAATATCAGCACCCACAGCTGGTAGTGAACTCATCTGCAAGGTTCTACCATTTCCCGAGGCAAGAAACCGAACAGAAGGCAAGGATGCATCCGTAACGGATTCAACCTCAAGAAAGTTGAAATCAAATGCACCAGACCGCTTCAAACTCAACACAAACACAAGTACAATCCATCCCAACATAGAAACTGCCCAATAATTGTTTACACCATGGATCAAACCCCAAGCAATGGCATACCCAACAATAATTCCAGAGAAGTGGCCCACAAAACTTGCCTGTGGAACAATTATTGAAGTAAATATAAGTGATTCAAATGGTGCAAAACTGATTGGAAGAGAAAGAAACCCAAAAAGGTCCAACTTCGATGAGGGTTGCTTCACTGAAAGAATGGTCATCCAACCAAAAACTACACAGGAATACCCAACAGCTGTCACTCTCCGGAAATACTCCAGCTTGAATTTTTTAATTAAAACATGGTAAGCCCCCAAGACTAGCAAACCTGATAACACTACCAGGACTAGTGTGTACTGAAGATAAAACTCCATCCCTAGTCCCATGTACCCTAGCTTCTCTACAACTCCAAGACTCCAAAGTGCACTCATATTGAAAACAAGATGAAGGACACTTATATGGGAAAATGCCGATGTTATTATCCTCCAATAATGCCCTTCAAGGGCGGTTTCATAACTCAAGCCGACATGAGAATACCCAATATTTTTCTTCTGTATATAGAACCAAATTGCAGAACAAATTCCAATAATACAACTTGTAGCTGGTTTTTCCAAGATCTCATAAAACAATGGCTTCCCCATCTAGAACCCTTTTCAAACAAACACAAACTACTAGAAGCAATAACCAAAGCTCAAAGAAATCAAGAGCTTTGAAAACCCTAGAACACCTTCTGATGAATGCAAAACCATTAACAGCTAAAACCCAGTTTCAAGATTCACTAGTCCAACAGAGATGCAAATCTACTACAAGCAACCACTGATCAAAAATTCACCTTCAGAAAATGTCAAATTTACACATCTCACCATCCCAGAACACCAAACAGGGAATTGGGTTCTTCAAAAATCAATCAATCGACTTTCTATCTCTTCAATTTTGGGCAAATTAATGGAGATTTCCTATTTACAAGTAAAACCCCTATTCTATACCCAACTTTTGCATTCAAACAACAGGCACCGACAGATTTGGAAGGGGAAAAACAAGTAGAGGTTTCGCAGTTAAAAAAATACAGATTAAGGTTTCTAAGAGACAATAGAATCAATGGAATTAGGGTTTGAAGACAGAAATTTCGCACCTTTTAGCTTCAAGTTGATCAGAGTTCTTCGTGAACGCTAGATTTTCTAGTTCCTTCTGTGCCAAACAGCGAAGAAAGGTCTGTTGTGTGGTTATGTCATGCGAGGGTGATTTTATTTACAACCCTATTTTTCTTATTTTTGTAATAAATTTTTTTTTTTTTTTTTTTTTGAGATATATACATGTAACTTCACAAATAAGGAAAAATAATTTATAATAATAATAAATAAGTAAATAAAAACTTTTTAAAGGAATGGAGTTTATCCTCTTGAATTGATCAAATTATCCCTTCTTTTTTTTCACCATCTACCCTTTTCTTTTTTAGGGAATCGTTAACGTTAGTTACATCCGGCTAACTACCACTACCCTAGCCCTTCTATGCCATTTCTTATATTTGCTCCACAATTTCTTGTTATCGCCACTATCTTCTCCACTTCACAGCTCTTTTTTTTATACCTTAACCATTGCAAGCACTTTAGTTCCCTATTCTTTTCCCCTCACGATCCCACATTCGTGCCATTGCTACTGCAAAATGTTCTCTTCATTATCATCCTCCATGCAACAACACCATATCTCCAAACCCTAACTACCACAACCATACTAGACCCCCTAACTTCTCCCCTTCACAACCCCATATCTTTCGTATCGTTATTGTTAAATGTACTTAATGTAAATGTAAAATATTCACAAACATAAGTGCAATACATGTGTGGTGCATGTGATAAGTATATTTGCACTCACACCAGACACAATTAACATTTGCATCTGTATATATATTAGACTTGTATTGAGCACACTCTATAGTAGTGGCTATAAGGAAGTGTGAGGTTGTGACTAGAAACGGATTTGAGTGGCTGCAATGACTAAAGTTTTGGGGGGTTGTAAAGCGGAGAGGTTGATGTCGGGATGGACTAAATAGTGGAAGAGATAAAAGGACTAAGATAGTAGAGACTGGTAGTAGGTGGTTCGGAGTGGCAAGTAAAAGTATCGTAGTATTGGCTATCACTTGGAGTTACATAGGGAAAAAGGAAAGAGAATGACAGTTTGATCAATTAAAGGATAGATGTTAGTGGTTTATAATTATCTTACTTCTTTCCAGTTGTATTGCAATTTAAAATGATTTTTTAATATTTTGAATACCTTTTTTTTTTTCTACATTCTACTAATTTGTAATTTTGTTTTTAAATGGGGCATTAAAAAAATGGGTATAGTGAGAAAGACTAATGATTTAAATAGAAACACAGGTAATGTAATTTTTTTTTAAGTGAAGCAAAATTACAGAAATACCCTAGATATTTATAAAGATGGATTACAAACAAGCCAGAGATGCGTGGACCTTTTGAATGAGAAGCAAAGCCTAAAGTCAAACCCAAAAAAATAATGTCTAAAGAAAAGAAAAATATTTTTAAAATGTTTATATATATAATATAGAAGACTTATTTTAAAAAGGACAAATTACAAGAATCTTGAAATTTAAAAAATAAAAATACAATAAATCTCACAAGTTTGACCTAATTGAGTTTTCTTAAGATTTTAATTCACATAGCATTTCATAAGTAACTCGTTAGCATATAAATAGAAAAATAATACAGCAACATTAGTTTGACATTTAATTGCAAAAAAAAAAATTAAACAATAAATATTATTTGAAAGTTTTTTCTTTTTTTGAAAGTTAAACTATCCATTTTTTTAAGACAAATGTAATAAATTAATGTGGCTTCAATTATCAGATCAACCTGATTCTTTTTATAAATGATCTACGTATTGTAGTCTAAAAAATGAACAATTCATATCATCGAATTGAGACTTGTAATAGGTTTCACATGCTCAAATAACACCGCTAAAGAAGAAAATGACATAATTAGAAGTAAATATGTACACCTCTTTCAAGGGTTGTGTATGATAGAATTTCTCTAAATTATAAACATGTTTACATTATAAATATGAGCAAACGAGACCTTAATATAATAGTTGAATCCAAAGCTCAAGAACTCAGCAGAACCCCTTATGTTTGGTATAAAAATAAACAAGTAAGAATTACATATATATTTAATTATAGGTAGATCGTGGAAAATTGAGGATAGTCCTAAGTTTGAGAATATATAAATCTTGTTATTACTAACTTTTACCTACAAACAAGTTCAACTACCCAACCGATTTTGAGCATGCTCTTTCTACATCTAAGATGCTGACTTAATACTAGGATTTCCTATTATCCAGCGTATAAAGTAACTAAGTGGGTAATGTTATATGATATTTTAAAAATATTCAATAATATTTCTCACATGACGCTATTACAATGAAAACGTATATAATTATTCCAAGTGACGAGAGTATCACGTGACATTATTTATATAGTGATTTAAATCAATGACGTAGAAAAAAATCTTATTGATGAAACGTAGTGCATCATCCTTATTTAGTAATTAAGAGATAAGGAATAACTCACTTAATATGAGTTGTAATTTTTAATTTACAAAGAGTATCACATAAATACCGAATTATTTAATAATTTTTCCCAAAGGACAATGGCTTCGTTTGAGAAGTTGGCTATTTTAGTAGATTATTTTAGTTTTTGGCTATTTTAGTAGGTTAAAATTTTTGTATTTGGAAAGATAGTTGAATTTTTTTATAGTTAGATGTGATATTTGTAAGAAAAAAATGAAATAATTATGAATTTGATATGACATTTTATTTTATTAACTATTTTAATTTATTTTTATCTTTTTATAGATGTTGAAAAAAAAAAAGAAGTTAAAATTCAACTTGCCAAACAGGGCCCATATTTTCCCGTGGATAAGAAAAGATAGAGAAAAATATAACAGACAATGGAACCATAACAATGACGTCGAGAAGTAGTCATAATTCCTTTTGGTGAAATCCCTTTTATCTTCTCTTTAGTTTCTTTGGCTAGTAAAGCTTGGGTTGGTGGGGGATATTGTACACCAATCACCCATGTGCTACATAATTATATTTAAAGCTCGTCCAATTAAATTAAACATTCATAATCTCAAATAAATAAGATTAATGCAATATAAATTAAAAAAATTTACAATTTTCTTTTTTAAAAAATACCAGAAACACATAAAACAATTATAAAATCAAACAGAATCCCCTCATATGAATGTATTTAAATATTGATGTAAAATCAATAATATTATATTAAAACAAAATGACTCTTATTTCAAGTTTTAAAATTTTATTATTAACATTCCTGAACCCCTTGCTTAGTTTTGCCACTTTTTTTTCTTTTCCTGCGTCCCTGCCTAGGCCCCTCTCCTCCTCCACCACCACCCCCTACCCAACCGTTAGCCTCCTCTCCTCCTCCACCCCGTACCCAACCCTTCCTTGCCAACGTGCGCGATTAGAGTTAATGTGGAAGATAATGAGTTGTGAGAATGGAAGATGAGATTATTTTAAAAAATTATTTGAGGAACACAGTAATTAATAGCAACAATTTTTTTAAAAAAATGAACTTAGAAAATATCTTGTGCAAATAGAAATGAGTCACACAGATGCAACCAAAACTACCCACCCTTCTTAAACATATTTCCACTATGGTTCAACCACTAACCTATAATTAATATAAAAAAACCAACCTACCGTTAATTAACTTCTACACACATATATATAGATGCGCAATATATTTCTTCCTCATCTCATGAAACCATTAGCCATGCCAAGCACTGCAGTCAGTCCGATCACCGTCTTCAGCTGGCCTGATCCTGCCACACCTCTCAGTGGATCTTTCCGGCACACCATTAATGCATGGCAGCCGATAACTAGCCCCATGGAAGATGATTATGGACGTGATTATTGGCATGCAAGGCGGGCATTTTTGACCAGTTACCATTTCTCTGAGAGGAAAAATACCGGTTTCAAGGAGAAGATGAAGAAGTCTTTGAAAGGGCTCAATGAGGTGGCCATGAAAGTTTTTTTACCGGTACGTGGAGGGATGTATAAGAGAAAGATTGGAGTTAGGGTTTACAGGTTCACTGTGGGTGGACCAACTTTGTTCATTGTAAGATGTTTTGTACCATGGGCACACAAAGATCAGCAATACCTCAACCCATGACGTTATGGGTAACAGTCTTTCTATTTGTACAGAAATTAATCTGCTTATATGATTGGTTTCTGTGTTTTTAAACTATTTCTATGAATAATTAATGTGTGAGCGTAAGTGAGAGACAATCAGCTTAAATCAGATTTTTATTTTTCAGATATTCAAATAGTAGGATTAGAATATATTCCAATATAACTTAAGTTAGACTAGCCTGTCTTGCTTGAGTGAGAGAGGAAGCTTAGTTTAATTTGTTATAAAGGGAAGTTGGACTGAGACCATGTTAATACATGTGTGTTTTATTTTCATGTTTACATGCAAGTTGTCTTTTGTCTTTGAGGCTTGAGTTGAAAGTTGTGTTATTATGTACAATGGCAGCTTCAGAATTTTTATTGTCATTGGATCAATGCATGATTCTTATGATACCAATATCTATCATTCATTTTAAATAATTTAATATAGAGTCATGATTGAGACCCCCTCCAATCACCACCCCACCACTCCACACACACGTGGCGGGTGATGATTGAAAGAGAAGGAAAAAAAGAAAAAAGAAAATGAAAAACTAGCCAATCATGTTGACAGGGGTCAAAGGGGTGAGGGGAAAGGAGGTCTGAAACATTATTGAATGATTTAAATTTTCTCAAGTAAAAAATAACTGAAAACTTTACCACACGTAAGACCAATTCAAAAAGCCTGTTAAACATAAACCCTATTCATTATGGAAAAAAATAAAATAAAATAAAATAAAATAAAATGAGAGAGAGAGAGAGAGAGAGAGAGAGAGAGAGAGAGTGGCTATCGCAAATTATCCATAATATGACTCCGTGATCTTCATAAAAACAACTGTTGTGCAGAAGGCATTTCAAGCTAAAATCTTTAATTTTTTTATTTTATTTTTTGCGTGCGTGCGTGTGTGAATGTCTCTGTAAGTAAGTAACATACAAACCACTGGAAATAATGTCATTGGATCAATGCATGACTCTTATGATACCAATATCTATCATTCGTTTTAAATAATTTAATATAGGGTCATGATTGAGACCCCCTCCAATCACCACCCCACCACCCCACACACACGTGGGGGTAATGATTGGAGGAAAAGGAAAAAAAGAAAAAAAAAATGAAAAACAAGCCAATCATGTTGACAGATGGTCAAAGGAGGTGAGGGGAAAGGGGGTTTGGAACATTATTGAATGATTTAAATCTTCTCAAGTAAAAAATAACTGAAAACTTTACCACATGTAAGACCAATTCAAAAAGCCTGTTAAACATAAACCCTATTCATTATGGAAAAAAATAAAATAAAATAAAATGAGAGAGAGAGAGAGAGGGAGTGGCTATCGCAAATTATCCATAATATGACTCCGTGATCTTCATAAAAACAACTGTTGTGCAGAAGGCATTTCAAGCTAAAATCTTTAATTTTTTTATTTTATTTTTTGCGTGCGTGCGTGTGTGAATGTCTCTGTAAGTAAGTAACATACAAACCACTGGAAATAAAGAAAAACCATAATACAACATTACACTTTCGGCATTGCCCAAGGTAACTGAATCCAAGATATAGAAAGTCATCATACCAGTCAACAAATTAAACCAGCAAAAATCCATATCCCAATTCGGACGTTAAACTGCTTGAGCAGGAAGCGTTCTCTTGCGCCACTTCCAGTAATTTGATCTCATTGGATCTACACGTTCCAAGAGAGAACAAACTGTTTTTGCGAACTCTGAATCTGGTGAATCCGACTCTGAGGTCAAAGCATTGATAGCAACTTTGAACTCTTGGCCCGGTTGAAAACCATGGCAGAGAAGATCCAAAAGCATGCTCAGAGCAAAGATATAGTTGATTTGTGAATTCAAAACCTTCAAACATACTGAAGAGATTTGAGAATCGTTGATCCAAGACTCTGCATTGTCTTTGTAAAGGCCTCGAAGGTATCTCCATGGGCTTTCATTCTCGGGTTTGGCTATAATGGCTTCCACTGCATAACGTACTTCCGACTCTCGCATGGCCTCCAGGCCTCCAAGGAGGGGTGATTTTGTGACAACAAAATATCTCTGTAAAAACCAAAAAAAAATTACTCTTTATAAGTATGAGTGGGCAACAATTTTTTGTGCCAAAACCAAATCAATGCGTGCATTCATACAAAACTTGTATTCGTACATATCTATATCATAGAATTCTATTTCTATTTCTTGACAAAGTAATACAAGAAAGGTCACAAGCCGGTGATGGTGGCAACTTTTTAGCTAAAGTTCAAGAACAATTAAGGAATAAAGAGGGGGGAAGCTAAAGAAGAAACAAAAGAAATAATTCAGAAACAATATGAGAAAAAACACTCAATCATGTTGGAATAATTAAGAAAAATTCAGGAGCTGGGAAATGAGCAAAATTATTTGTAATATTTATGACAAAGTTGACAATCGAATTACAATATCAAGTCACATAAATCAACCGTAAACTTTGCGACAACTCTGTATGTTTTACAAATTTGGGAAAATTTTGTCCAATGAAGCTAATCAAAACCATTAAGTTCCCACCAATGATATTCAAGCCAATTGTGGTTGTCAACTTTTCTCCATTAACTCTTCACTTGTTAAGTATTTGTCCCGAGAAACTAAAAGTACCGTAATGGACTGAAAGGTGGCAACTAACAAACTCTTTTTTACTACGATTACTACTTTACCAAATGTGTCCAGTACTCAAAAGTTTCATTTATACCTGATTCCAAGCAGAATTGTTGAAAATGTCATCTTCGAGAAGCTGCTGACAATAGTCAAGTTCATCTTCCCACCCTCCAAGTGCCTGAAGAACCCACTGCATGGAAACACTCATTTTCACTCTCCAGTTTCACTAATAAATGTATTCCAAAATTAAAACCGGTGTGCCCAAAGTAAAGAAAAACTTTCCGCTCATTGAGGCAAAGGAAAAGTAATTTAAAGTTCCAAGAACTGGAAACATGATGACGGGTTTTCTAGCATAACAGAAGGAACAGAACACAGACTACCTGCCGATGGGACCAGGCATGATAATTCTTCGCATCTATGAAAAAAATCTTCTTGGTGAACTCAAGTTCCGTACTCATGGCATCAGTTCCAAGTTTCTCAGCAACCCACCGCCTATGATGCCTGCAGCAATCAATTTTGTTCAGAATAATAGAGCAACACATACATGCATTCATCTAAAAGGTTGAAATCTTAAAATCAAATCAGAAGTTTACACCCCCCCCCCCCCCCCCCCCAAAAAAAAAAAAAAAAAAAAAAAAAAAAAAAAAAAAAAGAAGAAGAAGAAGATAAGCACATAACCACTTGTAATTACCAATGGTATCACCACCGAACATGCTAACAAATACATGACGACATCCATGGCATGGAATACAGTTACAAACATTGATTGGATCTCAACCTACTGACTTGAACACATAAGCACATCACATCTCTATTATCTTGCATAAAATGTGCAACATTGCAATAGGCCATTTTACTAGGGTTGTATTTGATTATCAGGAAACAACAGGAAGAGAAAAACAAGAACCATTTCTTTCATATCATGTGTTTTGTTTGACACAAGTGTGGGTCTTTCCATAGCTACTTTCTTGAAGGAAATATTGGCCTTGTTTGGTTACTTTTTCAAAAAGTTTTTTTAAAATTTTTTTTGAAAAAATGAAAATTAATTTGATAAAAATAAATATCAAAAAGATATTTTTAATTTTTTAAAAACTATTTCTAGCCTCCCAAAAATAAAATAATGTAAAAATGATAAGTATTTTTTATTTTTTTATTTCTTTCACCAAATTAATTTTTAGTTTTTTAGAAACAAAATTCAGAAAAAAAATTCTGACAAGCAAACCAAACCAAACATGGCCACTCTTCCGACAAGTTGCAACCATATATAGGATTACACATCACAGGTAAGTTGAGGTCTTACTTTTTCACAAATGTTCCCATAAACCAAATGCCTTACGGGAAAATTCATTCTTTTTTTATTTTCCTTAGGACCACTTTCATGTATGATGTTTCTAAAAATTAACAAAACCTGCAGTTTATTTATTTTGTTAGTTATTTCTTGGTTACGTGTTGTAGTTTTGTTAGAGGTTCCAACAACTACAATCAAAGGTAGACCAAAAAACACTCTTATCTAAGCTGAATTATACAAAAATCAGATTTTAGGAATGGTTTATGCAAAATCCACCAAGCAGCGCTCAAATTCCACAACCTATGGGCTCAAAACCAATCCCTACAGAGTAACAAAGTAAGGCTACTATGAAGCACGGACACCTCTCCGAGGGCTCCGTACCAGTGTCGAACACGGACACGCGTCGGACACGCAGCAGAGAGTGTCCCATTTTTTTTTTTAATTTTTTACATCCGGACACGTTCCGGACATGCTATAGACACTTTTGGGACATGCTATAGACACTTTTGGGACACATTTGGGGGTAAGTTCACAATTTACAAAACTTTTTGGGGGGTGATTTGTAAATAAGTAAAAACAGAGCAATATCTGCCCTAATTTGATTCGAATAGAATAGAAAGGGAGAACAGAAGAGAAAGGGAGAGAAAGAGAGACCTGTCGCTCGTCGTTCGTCTTCGCTCCTCGTCGGTCGTCACTCCTCGTTGGTCGTCTCTCCTCGTCAGTCGTCACTCATGTCTCGTCGTCGCTTGTTAAGGTACACGCTACTCTTCTTCTTCGATCATCTTCTTCTTCTTCTTCTTCTCAGTCGCTGTCTCTCTCTCTCTCTCTCTCTCACCCTCTCTGTCTGATTTTAGTTTTTCTTTTCTTTTCTTTTTTCTTTTATATAGTGAGTTATGTTTTTCTTTTATAGTGAGTGATCCCTCTCTCTGTCTTCGAGTGATCCGTCTCTCTCTCTGTCTTTTTTTTTTTTTTTTTCCCTTTGAGTATATTTTTTTTGTGATGTTGAATCAATTAAATGTTTATTTTTAATAATTTTAATAGTGTTATTTGTATATTTTATTACCTTTTAATGATTTATTAAACGTGTCCCTAACGTCGTGTCTCCCATTTTTTGAAAATTTGCGTGTCCGCGTGTCTGTGTCGTGTCACGTGTCCGTGCTTCATAGGCTACAACAAAATACCAAAATTTGAAATTTCAATTTCTCAAAAATTCCTTCTAAAGTGTGATTGCTGCCCTATAAATAAGTAGCTAAGTAGGTTACTTCCTAAAATGTACCTTGAAATAAAAAAGCTACAAAATAATAAGCAGATTACAAGTGGCAAACATGCAAGCACTCGATAACAAACTAGTGGCACATGGCTTACATGCAACAACTCTATGACAAGCGACGCATGGATTTATGTGCAGCCACCACATCAAAAAGTAGGTGACAAGCTTCTTACAAGTGGCTTTCAAGCACCCTCCTCCCAAAGAGATTACCATAAAACTAAGGAAACTAACAAAAATACCTAATTATACAACTTAATTTTAAAAAACAAATAAATAAAAAAAAATCTCCAACTCATTAAATCCCTTTCTTCCTTTTTTGTGAAGTAGAGAAGAGTACACTTTTCCCACCAAAATTAACATTAGATATTCATCACATCACTAGGCAAGATAACAAAGGGACTCGAGCCACTAATATCAAGGTTGAGAAGCCACCCAAATACCACTTGGCCTACAAGGCTAGTGGAAAAAATTCTGGTATCTACTTAAAAACATCTGCTAGTCTAAATCAAACTACAAAATAAGTCTATTCACAAATAATAAGCTCATGATGCTAACCTATTGTTTTTGAAATTCTTATCAACTCTTCTCTTTATTAAATGTAACTATCAAAAAAAAGTTTTAATTCATCCATTGTATCACCCCTGTTATCTGTACTTAAGCATTGGTTTTTAATAAATAAATAAATAAATAATTAGGGAAAAAGAAAAAGAAAAATTAATTATTCGAAAGCTGTAGCTCACCATATCTGGTAGTTTTTTGAGTTATCATTGGCAATAAGTTCAATAAAATCCAGTTCATCATGTAAGTCAGCATTCAGTGCCTCAAGTATTAGACGCCTAAACTGCCATACCTGCAAAACATGATAAAGGTTTAGCCTGACCTCCTTAAAATCCACTAAACTAATTATGCACACAACAAATTACTAAATCTAAAAATCTAGATGACTTTAAGGACAAGAAAATAAAGCTTAGCATATGCTTGTCTTCATTATGAGAAAACTTTCAATGAATGAAGTATATACTTTCTTGTTGAAGCAACATATAGATTAACCATGTGTAATCCTCCAAACCTTAGTCTTGGCAAGCATGTTCTCTATTACTTTTTTATTTTCTCATTTTTCCTTTTTTCTAGTCTTCCTTTTCTTTTTCCCCCAAGAGTATTTCCACTCAAACTATATAAAAGTTAAATCTAACCTTTACTGTTCCTCAATTATCACCCGAAAACTTATCTCTTATTATCCATAGGAGAAACTTTTGTCAATATTACTAGTATTAATAGCATTTAGATTCTCCTCCAATGATATTTGTTCATGTTACATTTAATTTTTTATTTTATTCAAAAGTGATTCTTCCACATGAAATTTCGATTTTTTCTACCTAATGCCAAGAAAGCCTTTCATAAAGCTTTACCTCATGAAAGAATAACAAAAATACCAAAATGCATAAGGGAAAAAAAAAACTAATAGAACAATATGAAAGACAAAGGATGTGGTGATTTAGATATTAGGATAATACAAAGGAAGTGAAAAGAATATACATAAACATACAAACTTGCTACAATAAGAAAGAAATGTAAATACTTGAACTACAATAAGTGACTTGAGAAGAAGAATCAAAGACAATTGATAGAATAGGATGAGGTAAAGGAACAACGGAAACTCATTTTCAAAAGTTAATTAGTTAAAAACTTAAATTCATGTAAGCCAAGTTTAGAATCATTTAGTAATCAATCGAGACAACTGAGAGGTGGTTTATCCTATAGTGGATGTCAGTGATTAGTGTGCGTATCTCCAACTCGTGAACATAGTCGATAATACAAAGCTATATTATAGCACCAAGTTGGTTAGATTCAGAGGTTCTATCTATGATTTATCATCTGTAAACATTGATAAGATCATTCCATTTAAAAGCACCTTCCATTTAGCAGCACCTTAGGATGGCATATCCTTAAGGGCAAGGCTCAAAAAAGGAACAGGTTATGGTGAATACCTAGGCACCCAGAGATGAGGAAGGGTGTGGTACGCAACAAAATGCCTCTAGTAATAATATTTTGGTAAAAGATTAAAATAGTTGACATACTAAAGGGTAAACAATGAAAATAGGAAAGATTTCGCATCACATTGAATTCTTGTTGAGGCATTAAAATGTTTGGCTTGTGATGGAGTAGCATGTCTAACTAAAAAATTTAACAAGATTTTACATACTATTAAAGATACCTAATGTATTACCAAAAGCATTATGATAAAGTCCGCATAAGGATAAAAATGATATCCAAAGCTACACTAACTATTTGACATATGAACTAAAAGTCACGGAATGAAACTTGGGAAGGTGATGGACTGAAGATTTAGATGTCAAACAACATATGAAGCAATCGATTTGATGTTTTATAAGGAAGCTAATATCCTAGTTGGGCAATTGACTAAAAACATAGGCAATATGAGAAAAACCTCTATGTTGTACTAGTGACCTACAGAAAGCACATGATAAGGTCTTTTAGGGGTTTCAATGAAAACAAAGCATCAATTAGAAACATTTAAGTGATCAATGATAAGTATGATGGAAGTTAAAATTGTAGAAGGAAATGTGAATTACGAAAGTTAATATGCCTACATGAAAGATTGACACTAAATCCTTTTATTTGCATTGGTTCCAAATGAACTAATTTGGAAAGTGTGTCTATATATGGGATGCCAATTTTATCATCCTAAATTAAAACTATATACATGTAATTTTTTTGCCAACAAAATAATCATAATCACACTACAACAAAAAGCATTTTTGGCGACGCTTTTTAGCAACCAAACAAAAATTTAGTTGCCAAAGATACATCATTGGCGACAGAATGTTTATGGTCACTAAAAACTAAACTTTTGCGACGAATTTAAAGTTTTGGTCGCTATTGAGTTTGGCGCCAAGTGCATTTTTGCGTGGGAGCACTAAACAATTTTTGGCGATCAAATTAATTTTTAGCGACGGAAATTTTAGTCACTAATTATATTTATTTGGCAACAAGCATTACTTGGTCGCCAAAAATCTGAATAATATTTATGGCAACCAAATTAATTTGGTTACCAATAAATTATTTGTCTTTCCCCAAACACACAAGTCTTTTCCTTCTCACTTTCTCACTCCATCTGGAACGGCACACACAGGTCCAGGTAATGTCTTCTTCTCTTCTTCTTCTTCGCTCTCCCTCCCCCTCTCCCTCTTGCTCTGCCGCGCCACCGAATGCGAAAGGCACGGAGCGTTGGGCGACAACAGCGCTACGCGACAGCAGATTCCAACCCTCTTTTTAGGTCGATGCCCTCTTCTCTTCTTTGTCTCTGATATGCTGAATGTAGTCCCTCCCCCTCTCCCTCTCTCTCTTGCTTTCTCGCACCGCCAGATGCCAACGGCATAGCAGCGCTAGGCGACAATAGATAACGACCTTCTCTTTGGGTCGATGCCCTCTTCTCTCCTCTGGGCCAAATGATACTCTAAATGTATTTTCTTTAAAACTAATTTTTAAAGTTACAGAGGTGAAATAAACTAATTTTTATTTTATTTTTGATATTTATTATATCTGTTGTGTGACCTAGATGAACTATATGTCTAGTAGTGACTCCAAATCAGCAAAGCTTCAACTATAATTGCATGTGTGATTACTTTCATTCTGTTTTATGTTGTAAATAGTTGATCTGCTAATGTAGATTACCTCCTCCCTCTTAAGACATCCAAATATGCGAGAGATCGTTAATGCACCATGATTAGATTTTGTTGAAATATGTGTCAAACTTAACTATATCCATTTGTTGATGTATGTCAACAGCTTAAGGTTCATGGTTCACATGGTTAGTCATCTTAGGTATCTTAGAGAATGGAACACTTTGTGAAGAGATTTGAAAGCTTTTTTTTATGTTAAGATCAACATTTTGTCTTCCTCAAGTAGTGGTATGGAAATACTTTAGTTGCTTTAAAAAAAAATGCTAAGATCTTGTGGTATATGTAACACTTGTATAAGCATATTTTTTGAGTTATTAGGGAAAAACATGTTCTGGATCTTTATTGACACTAGCAGTAGATCTTTGTAGTTATAGTTTCTTTTTCTTTTTGAATTTTCCCCCTTAACATATATTGGCAGTAAAATGGTAGTTTATTTGTGCGTCTTGGTTGGCTATTCATTGACCTGACAATCTGTAAATCTATACAGTTTGTCATTGTAGTCGTTTTGTTGTTGCAGTCTGTATGCTTTAATTTTTTCCAATACAAATTTAGATTCATAATAAAAATAAAAATAAAATTTCTGGTTGCTTGAAGACTTACTATGTATTGATTTGGTTGATCAACTGATTTTAGCTTTAGTTATTGATTGTCACTGGTAATGGTGCAAATGTTGACTTGTCTGCATTGAGGGCGAATCATTGCATAGAAATATCATTATTTGATTGATCTAAGTTCATGCAATTTATTATTTATTAAAAATTTCTTTTGGTCAATCGTTGAATTGAATAAAATTCAACTGAAGGGGGTAATCGTTCTATAGAACATACTTTTTTATTTTTATTTAATCATACGCCATAAACATATACCACAAGAATTCTTATTCAAATTATGACTCCTAATATTTAAGGATTGACTGAACAATAGAAATAGAAAATTCATTGAGGAGAGGTATGATATAAGTAGACCATTGATTTTAATTAGGTTCTTATTCTTTTGCTTTTTTTTATCCTTAAGTTCTGTGCCTATGGTTTGCAGAAAGTCAAAGCCATTGAAATGTATTTGTTTTGTGTTTGAGAATGCAATGACTAAAGTTAAATTGGTTTTCATTTTTTAATCGAGCTGCTTTTGTGATTTTGTGCTCTCGATTTTATCTTATTTATTTTTGTCTTTTGATAGTTATATATGCATATGTGTAGTCATAGATGTGGGTTTTTTTCTTTAAGATCTCTTTCAATATCATCCTCTTGAATTTCCATTGGACCTCTCGGGCTTAAATCTTTCTCAGTAACTTCCTCTCTACTGATTTTATAGAAGATGATTTGATAGTGGAGAGGCTGACATAATATGCTTGTTTTTGTTTCATGGGGTAATTCAACTCAAAAGGCTTATTCAACTTTAGAAACAGTAAGTATTTGAATTGGATATGTACTGTATGTCAATCTAATTTTTTGTTTGTTGTTTGTTGTTTGGTTTCTCTTGAGCTTGTGGTGTATTTTGTTCTGTTTTTGGCTCTCTGTCTCAATTTCTCAAGCACTGCTTTCGCTCTCTACCTCTTATGTGTTTTCATTTCACCCATGAATTCAAGATCAACCCAAAACTTTTCCAGTCCAAGCACAACCAATCACGGTTCAATTCTAGTTTGTATACATTTGATTAATAAAGAAAGGGATCTTGATTCAACTCCAACATTGTGCTTTGTTCCTCTTTTTCTTCTTTCATGTCTGTTGATGTAATCTCATATGAAATGTATGTTTTTTTCATCAATAAAGATTTTTTTGCTGATCAAAAAAAGATTCCCTTTTTTATGGAAGGGATTGAAAATATTATCCATTAACAATTTTCTTGATTGATAAAAATCAGTATAATATATATATATATTAAGAAAAGTATTCATATATATGTGTGTGTGTTGGGGGGTGTAGTGATGGTGGTGGCTTGAACTTGGGTCTTGTATAGAGTGAAGGAGTTGTGGGAAGATGGTGTGCTTACGTATGATGGTGCATGACACTAAACTGATATTGCTTTAATTGATATTTATTTTTGCTTCAATCCAAGTTTCCAATCTATGTGCATGACACTAAACTGACAAAATTAGAAACATGCTTTTGGCGTGCTTAGGTTTGGAATACTTGATTCAATTGTTGTC